GTAAAAGCCGAACTAAAAAACTTCTGCTACAAAATGTGAGAATGAATTGCTCCACAGCGTTTGCAGCTACAGAAGTCAGTGAGGGCTTGTTTTAAAGTAAATTGACTGCTTGTTGAGAACTAGTAAATATTGTAATCTCCATAGCTGGACCACAGGTCTACTTGTGATTTTCTTCAGATGTGGAATGGATCTGGATTCTTGTAGACCTGTTAAATGGTCCCCAGTTCTTGTGCATGGCCGCTATGAATGGTAAACTTAGCACACGGCAACCAGTAACATATGTAACAAAGGGAGCCCTGCCTCTCTGCACTGCCTAAGAAGACAGCTGTGGGAGGAGCTACTGAAATGTCTGAGATGCATACTGTCTATGTGGCCCTTGAACCACCCCTCCTCGGGACTGCAAAACGAGATGGAGGTTCTGACTGGAGGAACAAGCCAACACAGATGGCTCTTATTTCAGAACTGTGATGAATAAGGCCCCTGCCTCTGTCTACAGCCCTCGCTCTTGGGTGCTTTGTTGAGTGTGAGGTCTGTGTGATAGCCCTGCGTTCCCGCTCTGATGCGGATCTTTGGTTGATTCCAGCAGTTATCGGTACATTATGCCTCCGTCCTAACCAATGTCTCTGCGTGAAGCCCATCAGAGGATTGTTCGTGGAGCAGAGGTCCCCGCTGAAAAGACGACACTTCTTTTGCAAACACAAATAAAATTTAAAAAAAAGCAACACTCTTCTCTATTCTACTAGATATGTTCGGGTTGAATAAATTAACTCTTTATCTCTTTGGTAAAAGCTACTTTGATGAATTCTTTTCATGGTGATTGCTGGACGTGACCTGTGGTGAAAAAAAAAAAGATGTCTCGAGCCCTCCAAGCCCTGAGAGATGGTCAGTGTAGATGAGGGTTGGGTACAGAACAAGGTTTTACTTCGCCCCGCTGTCCTCCAGGTAGGCCGGTCAGAGGTAGGGTGGTCAGGTCAGAGATGAGATTGTCAAATTCTTGTGGTTTTGCATACCGAGCTTCTGCCGCGTAGCAGAACAAAGCTCAGGAGGTTGGTGGCTCCGGCAGAAGTCAGGGCTGAAGAAAGCTCGATGAGGCTCCTCACAAAGTCATCAGATAATGCCCCTTTTTTGTTTTCCCCGTAGATCCTTCTTTGCTATGCCGTCAATTCCAGTTGGTCCCACCAACCTCGGAGAAAACCCAACCTACCCATGTGTGGATGCGAGATGCAGGTTAAAAGGGTACTGGAAGTGGATGGACATTGTGGAGACTCACGGGGAAGAACTAGGCGGAGTGTGTCCTTGTGACGAGGAGGAGAGCGGGGGCATCTGCTGTGCTGTCGTCGGACTGGAGCGGCCGTTGTTGCTCGAGCTTGTGCTGGACCCTGGTGGAGCCCCGGCCCTGCGCGCAAATAGCACACCTGGGGAAGAAGAAGAAGAGAGGTGTGGGGTCATGGAGGCTCAGAAGAAAGAAGAGAGGCGTGGGTCATGGAGGCTCAGGAGGAAGAAGAGAGGTGTGGGGTCATGGAGACTCAGGAGGAAGAAGAGAGGTGTGGGGTCATGGAGACTCAGGAGGAAGAAGAGAGGTGTGGGGTCATGGAGACTCAGGAGGAAGAAGAGAGGGGTGGGGTCATGGAGGCTGGAAGAAGAAGAAGAGAGGTGTGGGGTCATGGAGGCTCAGAAGAAAAAGAGAGGTGTAGGGTCATGGAGACTCAGGAGGAAGAAGAGAGGTGTGGGGTCATGGAGACTCAGGAGAAAGAAGAGAGGTGTGGGGTCATGGAGACTCAGGAGGAAGAAGAGAGGTGTGGGGTCATGGAGACTCAGGAGAAAGAAGAGAGGTGTGGGGTCATGGAGACTCAGGAGGAAGAAGAGAGGTGTAGGGTCATGGAGACTCAGGAGGAAGAAGAGAGGTGTGGGGTCATGGAGACTCAGGAGAAAGAAGAGAGGTGTGGGGTCATGGAGACTCAGGAGGAAGAAGAGAGGTGTGGGGTCATAGAGACTCAGGAGGAAGAAGAGAGGTGTGGGGTCATGGAGACTCAGGAGGAAGAAGAGAGGTGTGGGTCATGGAGGCTCAGGAGGAATCCAGCCCCTCCCCTGTCACGGCAGAGAGCCGTCACAGGATCGAGAGGTGAGCGAACGCCGGTATGTGTTCGCTCACCTCACGATCTACTGAGCCAACCTGTGACAGTCTCATTGTCACAGGTCGGCTAGAACTATGAGGTGAGTGAAAAGCACCCCCCTCATTATTATTATTATCATACAGGATTTATAGAGCGCCAATAGTTTGCGCAGCGCTGTACAATATAAGGAAGACATTACAATCACAATACAATTCAAGACAAGATGGTAAGGAGGGCCCAGCCCCTGAGGGCTTACAATCTCAAAGAGGAGGGGGAAATGATACATGAGGTAGCTGTGGTAGCTGTGGGAATGAATTATGTGAGAATGTGAAGGTTCAGTGGTTAGGTTGAGGTGGGATACCTCATAGTTCTCCTTTAAAATTCCTCATTGGAGACCGATCATATATAAGAGAGTCAGAGCTCGGGGACACGGGTGGATTTTATGATCAGAGAAGGTGACACCACTCTCTGTCTGCAATAAGAAATACATATTGCATGTGATCCTTACTGGAAGATGAATGCGTTTATTGGGCTCCGGTGCTCACAGCTGTTCTATATATTACACACGCAGGGTGATATACAGCTGGCCAGTCAGTCACATGTCACCCGAGGAATGCAGATGAGTGTCAGCACCCCAATCCCACCAATCAGACAGCTGCCACCCAGCCAGATACATGAGAGCGCTGGGATTGTTTATGACCAGAGCTGAGATCACTCCTCTATGTATAGGACTGAACCTGACATATCACTGAGATCCATTTCATCCACTCCGAGCCAATCCTAAAGAGGAACTCTACCTCCGTGATAAGTACTGTATGAGAGTGCTGGAGGAGGCAGTGAAATCGGACTCCTTGTAAGTAGCATGGATTTCCTATCTGGTCCTGTCCAGTATACACAGGATTGCTGGCAGCAGTCACATTTCACTGGTCGCTTGTTCTGTAACCGTCTTTTCACTGATACAAGTACAATATATGGCAGCCGTGGTCAATGTACCTGATATAGAGGCCTTAAGTGTGACCCCGGATAAGTGTGACCCCGGACATCACAATGTAGTAATGTCAGAGACTGCAGGCATGATATAGGAGAAAGCGCACAGGCGCGACCCGGAGCCGCTCTAATTCTTTATATAATACTGGGATATGTTCCTGGTATGGTGGGGGTATAAATGTTGGGGTATGTTCCTGGTATGGAGGGGGTATAAATGTTGGGGTATGTTCCTGGTATGGCGGGGGTATAAATGTTGGGATATGTTCCTGGTATGGTTGGGGTATAAATGTTGGGATATGTTCCTGGTATGGTGGGGGTATAAATGCCGGGGTATGTTCCTGATATGGAGGGGGTATAAATGTTGGGGTATGTTCCTGATATGGAGGGGGTATAAATGCTGGGGTATGTTCCTGGTATGGTGAGTGTATAAATACTGGGGGATGTTCCTGATATGGTGGGGGTATAAATGTTGGGGTATGTTCCTGGTATGGCGGGGGTATAAATGCTGAGGTATGTTCCTGGTATGGCGTGGGTATAAATGCTGGGGTATGTTCCTGGTATGGTGGGGGTATAAATGCCGGGGTATGTTCCTGATATGGAGGGGGTATAAATGCTGGGGTATGTTCCTGGTATGGTGGGGTATCAATGTTGAGGTATGTTCCTGGTATGGTGGGGGTATACATGTTGGGGTATATTCCTGATATGGTGAGGGTATAAATGTTGGGATATGTTCCTGGTATGGTGGGGGTATCAGTGTTGGGGTATGTTCCTGGTATGGTGGTGGGTATCAATGCTGGGGTATGCTCCTGGTATGGAGAGGGGCATAAGTTTTGGGGTATGCTCCCGGTATGGTGGGATATCAATGTTGGGGTATGCCCAGTTGGATTTCCCTCCTCCCCCTCCCCCATGATGGGACATATTCTATCTGATATGATATATATTTGTATCTTCTCGGGAGCCGCTCCGGATTAATACTCGGGGAATGTCCGGATTAATACTCGGGGAATGTCCGGATTAATACTCAGGGAATGTCCGGATTAATACTCGGGGAATGTCTGGAGAACGCTATCGGCCTTTCACAAGAGCTGGAACTTCGGAGGAATTGCCCGCCGGTCCCGGCGCTTTCCTCGATTCAACAGATCTATAGAAAGGCCGCATTTCGGTGACCTCGTACCAGCGGCGGCCGGCGCGCGGCTCTCCCCGCGTAACAGTGCGCTCCTCCGCCGGCTGTCACTTCGGGTTAACGTACTGCCGCCGTCAAGATATCCACTCCTGTGAGTTCATTACCATGGATTTTACAGCCAGGCGTTCTACTCTCCGCCACTCACTGCAACTTATTGGATTTCCTGCCAGCGCCGCACGCGCGAGAGAGAGAAGGGCCGTCACCTACCTGCGTAGACGACTCCATTTATTTCTATTGACATGTTGATGCTGCTGATGCTGGAGGCAGACAGGTTCATCGCCATCTCTTGTCTGTCATCTGAAGGGGAAAGAAAGCGGAGAAAGCGGGGTCAGCGTACAACGGCGGGGCGACTATTAGCTGCACGAGATTAAAAGCTCTTAAAGGAGAACTATGGGGTCAGTGCTTCTCCTTAGGGTAACGGGAGGACACAAACCAGCGTCCTCCCGTTACCCTAGGCTCAGTATATAGGGAGCTACAGCTCGCGGTATACTGAGGCACCGCAGCTGAAGCGGATCCCGACAATTGTGCCGGGATCCACCCAGCTGCGTGAGTGACAGCTGGCTCTGCCTATCTAGAGTCAGCTGTACCCGCCCCCTCCCCCGTCCGTTCCGCCAGTCAGCGCTGGCAGATCGGAGCGGGGAATCCAGCCCCTCCCCCTGTCACGGCAGAGAGCGGTGACAGGATCGAGAGGTGAGCGAACC